AGGAAAATGCAACATTCTGGCGCAAGTTGCCCTATGGATTTTCTCGCTTTGACGATGGGACTCTTATACCAGACGTCATCCGCAACTACTTCTCCCATGTTCTGGATCCTGGAGAAAGCTATCGTAACGATGTGCACTTGTTCAAGGATCTCGTCGCCTACGACGACCCTTTCGGAACGCAGCCGCGTCAGGATGGCAAGCTGACATTGCTGGACTGGATGTTGCAAGATGCCCACCACTTGATCGTCGAGCAGCGGGGCCCGCACAAGGCGCATGAGCGGACAGTACGTAGCCGGAAGCCTAAAGTCTAAAGCCTACGCGCTAAAAGCGAAAGCCTAAAGACTAAAGCCTAGCTGTTCACTCAGAAACCCCCAACCCCCGTGTCCTATTCAAGCCTATTCAAGCCTTAGGGTGGAGGCTTTAAGAAATGAGGGTTTCAGCCCAAGACGTCGGAACCCCCGACAAGTCCAGACTTTACACGGTTACACCGGGTTCTGATGGCGCTGCAGGTTTCTGAGCTTGCTTGGCAGATTTATCTAGCACGCCCTGATGCTTGGGTGCTCGAATGGGAAGTTGACCTGTGTCAAAAGCCCATAATGATAATGCCGTTAAGAGTGGTCTGGTCAAGGGGTTTAGGGTCTGACGTGCCGTGTCACGGCTTTCAGCCCAGGATGTACGAGCCCAGTTTCCGAATCCTTTTGGAGAACACGGCGAGCAACTTGCCTCTTGGTTCCTTCAGTATGGAGTGCAGGAATTCTCCATCCAGGGCTTGAAGCGCCGGGTACGACAAGGAGCGCACAAAGCCTCGGAGCCTCTGCAAGGTGGCGTTAACGTCTATGGCTGGTTCCATGGCATCTTTGGGGTCGCCCAGTCCAGCCGCCTTCTGTTGAAGGCACTGAACGCCGTCCAGGCAAGGGGAGTTTACTGAAACTGAAACTGATTCTACAGTCAGGTTTCGAGTGAAGCACCGACTTGAAGCACCGCGCGAGGCTGACACCACAGCCATCGCCCTTCCTGCCGATTCTGAGCATCACCGGATGATCGACCTGAAGACTTCCCGCGCCGCACAGCACCGAATCAACTTGTTTGTGGCAAACGCTGACAGCACTCCCATAATACTGGAGTTGTTCCCGCACTCACAGCGGAGCATCTATTACAATATTGGATACTGGGCGTGGGAATTGGAGAAGTTCCCCAGCGAATGGATGGTCCACCTGCGTGTCTTCAACGAGGCGACTTGTTCTCAAAGCTGATCTGTTGTCGTGCTGAGGCGTGTCCGATTCTAGAGGGCCTTCCCGTCCAGTCGCCAGGTTTGGACCCCGTCTGAGTTCGTGACGACATCAATCACCTCGTCTCCACTGTACGGCAATTTTTCGCAAAAGACAAAGGTCGTGACGATGAACACTGGCTGTGAGGTTGACTCAGATTCTTATTCCTCGTTAGGAAGAGTTCTGGCCGTGGAGAGTTTTCAGCCTCAAGCCGTAAAAGTCAGACCCTCTTTGGCCCCAAGATGCCCCAAGCACTAACGCCTACTTTAGGGAAAGCACCTCAGTTCATGAGCTAAGGAAGACTACCTTGCAACGAGACCCCGCTTCGATTTTCCGACCGGCGCACTGGTGTTCCTGGTGCCGCAGCCTCGACAACTCGAAGACGTTGTTTTTTTGATTTCATGAGGCTCGAGGTGTAGTCAGGGCTCCGGAAGGCCAGGCAGAGAATGGCATCTGGGGAGGGGCCCGAACAGGGATGCTGGGTTGGCTAAGGTGATGTTTGACTTTCAAAGCTCTTTCCACCGGAAAAACCCGTTGGCGACGGTGGAGGCCTTCAAGAAGGCCTTTGGGAGGCTGGGCCCCTTCAGCCATGGGTTGCTTTGAGGGTTTCGGGTGAAGGGCGCAATGCTCTGTCCATACTCTCCCTGCTTGCATAGCCCTATGATTTAAGTTTCCAAGTCTTTTCCGTGGGTGCGGTCCGTAGCTTAGGAGAAGCTCGCGAGACGTCTTGCTCGTGATCAAGTGCCTTCTGCCCAGTGGGAGCCTTGACTTCAGTCAGGAACTCGAGGAGTTACGGGCCGCTGCCGACGGGAATATGCGCATCATGACGGATACACTGACCTTGCAGGAGCGGGGTCGGAGCGGGAGCTGTGCGCTCTGGAGGTGAAGCCAAAGCCATCCAGGGGGCTTGCACTCAGAACGCACAGACTGAGGCTCCTAGCTCTTAGAGCCCGAACAACCCTAAACCCCAAAAACCCGTCGTAGGTGCCCTAAACACCTTAGCTCAGAGGTGCAAAGGGCCGAAACAACAGAGCCAGGAGCAGCGCTCCTTGCTCGCTTCCGTGGATGTTCTGGTGTCGTTGCACCGCTCGGAAGGCTACGGCCTGGCCTTGCCCCGCGGACGCCTTGTTGGGGTCTACTTGGAGGTTGGGGTTCAGGGCTGAGTGTTTGGAGCTTAGGGTTTCGGGTTTAGGGGTGTCATCAGTGCCGATACTTTGGGCCTTGTGCATGCTCATGATGCTGGCCCCATTCTCTCAGGGTTCAGGGCGGTGAAGCATGGTTCAGGTATGGTTCTGCCGCAGTCCCCTGCCTGCGGATTCTTCATGCACGCCGTACTGTTGGGATGGGCTCAGAAGTAGCAGCAAGCAAAGGCAGCAGCAGCAACAAGCCGCAAGCCCGAGGGGCCCTGGGGGCTCAAAACCGAGCTCGGAAGCGGCTGAGGCTGGAGATGCTGATGTTGGGCAAGCCGGTCATCGCAACAGCGTACAGCGGGAACATGGACTTCATGTCCTGGCTGCCGGAGTCCTTTCGCTTCCTCCTGATCCCGCACGGATATGTGCAAGTCAATACGTCTAAGCATTTCCAGCATATCTATACATCGGACCAAAGGTGGGCTGATCCAGACGTCAGGCAGGCTGCCAGCGCCATGAGCAAGTTAGCCGCGGATCGGGGGCTGCTTGACAAGTGCCGACAGGTGGTTGGGCCACTGTTCCGGGAGCAGTTCGGCTTTCAGAAAGTTGGAAACAGAATGAAGGCTCGGCTGGAAGCCATTGATGCCCAGCTGGTATCCTCGCCAAGAGGACCAACGGCACCTGCTCGATGAGGTCTAGCAGCCAGCAAGGACTCAACATCCGGGACAGTGCCTCTTGACCACTGGCTGTTCCGGAAGTGCAAACGAGATGCAAGCAATGCTTGGCACGTCGGGTCTGCTGCGGCCTTTTGAGCACTGGCTGTTCAGGATGTGCAGAGTGAGGCAAGCAATGCTTGGCACGCCGTCGGGGTCGGTATGAACGAAAAATGCATGGAGTGCCGGGGAGATGAGGCCAGAATTTAGTGTCCGACACTGGAGATGCATCATGTCTCTCCAGGGGCTGTTGGCCCCCGTATTTAGTGACAGTGCAAGGTTGGCTGATCTGCTTGTGCTTGTTGTGGCTGCAGCTCATGGGGATCCGTGCTGTTGAGACAACTTCCGAGAGCATTGCTCCAGGCATATCCTCAGAGTTGCAAGGTCCAAGCATGCTTATATAGCTTGTTCTGAGTTCACAATCCCGGCATTCAGCAGATTTGCACATTTGAGTGTAGCTCTACTGCCGGTGGAAGTACTTGTTGGGTTTGGGTTCCAATCCAAGATCCACTTTCTAGCCGTCTCACTGCGCCACGCGACGCTGACGTGGTGGGGGAGCCCAGGTTGGACGTTTGAAGAAAGCTCATGCGAGGGGTCTTGGCGTTGATTCCAAGATGTCGCTTTACTTCTTTGGGCTGGGACCGTGGGTGTGCCGTTCAGAGCTTAAGAGGTTTGCCCAAAAGTCCAGGCTTGCAGTGGCAATCATGGGCAAACGCTAAAAGTGGTTCTGGTGATGAGTTCCTGTTCCATGTTCCATCGCTGAGCGGTTTGCAGATGGAGACCCAGGAGATGCAGATGCATCTTTTGCCCGCCCCAGTGGTTATTCTTCCAACATCCCCCAACATCCCGTGGCAACCGAAAGCAGGAAGCTGAATGGGTTCTTTTCTCCTTCCAAGTTTGCCCCTTGGTATTTAACTGCAGACCATCTGGGCCATGGCAGCCTGACTTCTATAAAACCCTAAACCCTCAACCTTAAATACTGAGGCTCAGACAGGGCCCCTTGTATGTGGAAGGGAGCTTCGCGGTGTCAATGCCCTCCCGCGGCTACCTCCCCCATTGCTGGCACCTTCCTAAACCCTAGACCCTAAACCAGGCCAAAAGTCTGCGAACTAGTTACAGTACCGACGTGGACTTTGGTTTGCACATGCGATTCGGTGTCTCTTAGAGGTTCTCTATCTTAGGGGCTCGTCTTGTTGCTGAGCTTGCATGTGCAGTCGTTTCACTTTGCTGCTGACTCATCATTCGCCTCGCCTGGATTGTCCGAGTGTGAGAGCCGATACCAGGCCAGAGTCCTGGAGAGCATGGGCATCAAGCCTGAGATGTCCCTTGGATTGGTTTCTGGGGAGTTTCCACATTTTATGTCGCCTCGTGGCGGAAGTGGAGGGCATTTCAGGTGACCCCGAACCCTAAGCCACAAATCCCTTCTCTAAACGCTGACGCTAATCCTCAAACCCTAAGTCCTTAACCCTATAAGCCCTGAACTTCAACAGGGGGCAAAAAAACCCAAAACCTGAAAACCTAAACCCCTTAACCCCTACATCCTAAACCCCACACCCTCAACCTTAAACCCTAAACTGTAAACCTCAAACCCCAAACCCAAAGCCAAAACCGTGAACCTTAAACCCTGAACCCTAAAACCCAACCCTTCAACCCTGAACCCCACACCGCAAACCTTAAACCTCGAACCCAAGCCCTGAAGCCTAAACCCAATACCCGTAACGGTAAACCTCAAACCCCAAACCCCAAACCCTAAGCTCTAAACGCTAAGCTGTACACCTTAAACCATCAACCTTAAACTCTAAACCCTGAACGGTAAACCTTAAACCCCAAAGCTAAAACCCTGAAGCCCCTTCTTTCCAAGGCTCGCCCTGACGCTACAGCCCGGATTTTGGGTGTAGGGTTTGCCCTTTGATGTGCCTGGTCGTTGGATGGTTATGGCGAACATGTAAATGCACATCCCCTATATCAAAACACCGGACTCATAGGCGCACTCCCCCACGAAATGCTTCGATGATGCTGTATTGGTTCAGATTGAGGTGGTGTCAGAATTACCATCCCTCCCAGCATTAGCACGTGCGACGTTGCTGACAAGGTTGTCATTAAACACACGCATGTAGAGACTCAGTTGTCCAGCCTGTCAGCGATGGAGCTTCCAAGTTGTCGGTGTTGGAGAGTCTTGGTTCTGTTGGTCGGAGTCAGTGTGATGCCAGCTGTTTTCAATGCTGTGTCCTGGAAGGGGAAGGGACAAGCGGGATCGGTCACATCGGTCACCCTCGTCTCGGAGTCGACGACTGAAACAGAGAGAGAGAGGTCACGACTGCAGACGTTTCTACGGATCCCTTCGCCGCTCCGGGAGCCGATGGGATCCGGTCTGCCGGCTCTGGTGATTGCCGGTGTCGACAAAGGCGGCACGAGTGAGGCTTGGGCGATGATCGCGCATGAATTCCAGGCTCAGACTCCATGCCATCGTCACAAAGAGTTGGGTTGTTTGTACAAGTATGGGCAAGGCGCTGTTGCGGTTCAGGATTGCTACAAGAGCTGTTTCAACCTTTCCTTGGTGCAAAATTCCTCCAACTATCTGCCCGTCGATGGTACTCCAAGCTATTTGTATGGCGGCCTTAATCTTGAGGCCAAGCCAGTCTCCCCTGCAACTCTATTCAAGTTCTCGCCGGAAGCAGCGGTGTTGCTTTTGCTGCGGAAGCCGCTTGATCGTGCACGTAGCCTCTATAACCATTGGTGCAAGGCTTCAAGCGCCGGGCCCCCACCTATACGGGCAGGTTGCGAGTCTTCACTCGAAAGTCTACTTTCGACTGAGTTGCAGTTCCTCCACGACAATGATTATTTGGTGAAGCAGTTCTTGAACGCCAGCTGCATCAACAGAAGCGATTGTGACCTTTGGTCGCCTATGTGGCAATACCGCACTGGCTTTGAGCCCTCTATCGAGGCAGGGCAGCGCAAACATGGGCACCGCAAACATCGGCACCCGTACATTCTAACTGGCATGTACTTCCCATTTGTTTATACATGGGCCCAGTGCACGAAGGCAAGACAGCTTGCTGTGATGCAGAGCGAATATTTCTGGCAAGATCCTAGAAGGTTGTGGACGGTCCTCGGCGTCAGCTCCGACTATGTGCCGCTTCAACCTCAAAACAAAGCTAACGCATACACGGCCAGAGCCACTCTTTCTCCGACCGTTGCGAAGCAGATCGAAGATGCGTTCAAAGAGCCTACTGAACTCTTACGCTCATATCTCCTTATTCAAAGTTCAAGTATCATCGTCGTGCCATGCGTTTCAAACACGACTTGGTGGCCTCAATGATTCATGGCCAGGGCTTTCATGGAAACGCAGCGTAGGCCCGGCACGTGTGACGCACTGTGCTCGTGTGTGTCCTCGAGCAGCTTCCGGGGGCCCTTGCTGCCCTTCTCTGGCAAAAGGAGAGACCTATAGGGTCGAATGTAATGTAATGTAGAAGGCGCAGACTAGGCCTAGGCGGGGTTCGTGCACATGTCGTGATGTGTGCCTCTGCGGACTCCTTTTCATTATTTTTTTGTTTGATCTGCAAATCTCGGCTGCGTTGCGTCTGTTAGCACCCTGTGAGACCCAACCGCAAACCCCGAACCCTAAACCATCCTAAATCCAACATCCCTAGACCCAAAACCCTAAACCCTACATCCCTAAACCTTAAACCCCTAAGGCCCCTGAGCCTGAACCGAGTCAAAACTTTCTCTCGGATCGTATGTTGAAAGGGACGACAGAGCCAATGAGGCCAACACAACTCCAGCCCAGTAGCCCGCATCTTGCTGAGTTCTCTAGTATTGAGAACCTATGCCTTCCCTAACCTCAAATCCTAAACTAATAAGGTATATAGGGTTCAGGGTACCTGTGACCCCAAACCCTACAAAATAGTACCCATAAAACCGTAGGCTTTTGGATCCACAGGTATGTCTTATGTCTGAGCTAAATCGGCTTGGAGCCTTTGGGGAGGCACTTGTCCGAAGATTGACGCCGTCACGAAGACGGAGTGGCCAAAGCAGCTGCACCCGAAGATGCACCTCCATGTGGCTTGGCGTGGGAGTTCCCTAATATAGTACCCTAAATATGAGGATCCTGATTATAAGGACCCCAAAATACGGTACCCCTTAGTTTCGGAAACTCCCGTCTGGGTTGTGGGTTTAGAGTCTGGGGTTTGGCATTTAGCGTATCTAGTGTTTGGTAGCAAGGTCGTAATCAGGAGCTGTAGGTTAGCTCCCGCAGCTTCCGAAAGTCTTTTGAAAAGCATTGCTACATGGCGGGCGGGAACCTTCGCCCGGCCCTTGTGCTAGCCCTTGGTGGTTCCATGCTGGCATAGCCTCAGGCAGTCCTTTTTCCCAACGGCACCCACGTGCCAGCCCCGGGTCAGGCACCAGAGACTGGATGTCGTTTGAAAGCCAACAGTATCGGAAACTTTGAGACCGAAGCCTTGTGAACACGGTGCCACGCTCCCACACGCAAGGTGCTCAAAGATCTCTTGGGTATCGTTTTGTTGTTTGCTTCAAGCTTAGAGTTTTGTGGCATGCTCGCAGGCAATCGAATTCGACTGCAAGTTGTCAAAGGGACCGTAACAGGAGTTTACCGAAACTCGATTGTCCGCACCGGTTCTTCGAAGGGAATAGGTTCCCCGGTGGCAACTTGCTGTAGCATGGAGATTGTCAAACCAAGCAACACAATAGAACCAGAAGCTCCAAGGCCCCTTAGTGGCTTGGCCCATCTTGAACTCCCCAATGTCACCGCAAGGTTGGTCTCAACAGCCCTCAGTTCAATTCCGGAAGCCCGATATCAAAACACGCCAGCCCATCACCTGCTTCCCGACGACGAGCCAAAACCCTAAACTCTGTGTGGACCCCTGAAAACAAATTAAAACCTCGAATCCTGAAGGCCTCCCAGTGGATGATGATAGGGATGAGATTGACGGCGAATCTGGTGCTGTTGAAGCTACTTGCTGCTGCTGCAGCTGCTGCTGCTGATGATGATAGTGCCGTTGCGGCAGATGATGATGACGATTATCATGATCATGATCATGATGATGGTAGTGGCGATCATCATTGTTGTTTGCTTTGGGGGCCTCCCGCTGCATCGTGGCACAGACCTGGCCGGTTCCGCACGGCTCGCCCGTGGCCGTCAAGTTCGAGGTGGGCAGAGCCATCGGAGGGTGAGGGTCCTGATGGTGACGAGCGCAAGCAGGATTCGAGATTCTGCCAGACCGGCATGAATGCTGCGTCTGTGATATTTGCCCACGGAGGACGTTGATTGAACCTCACTGGCAGCAAATTGCAAGACCTTTGCGCACAAACCTGAACTAGGACCTCTCTACATAAGCCCTAAACCCTCCACCAGCCTGGAGGACCTGGCGGACCTGTCGATGACGCTGCGTGCTCTTGGTGAAGGCGTGCTTGGCATGTCGTGAAGCTGAGGATGTGGGCGGTCGGCATTCGGGGTTTGTTAAGACTTCGCTGCGTATTCTGAATGAGAGTTGGTTTTGTTGAATGTTGCAGCAAAGGAGCGAATGCCATCACGAGAGGTCTGGTTGAAGACGACGTCAACAAGTAGCTGCAGTATGATTGTTGGGAGCGCAGTGCCAAGGTAAAGCAAGTAGCGAGGGCTAGAAAGACTGCAGTGTTGAACCGAAGCAGTTTCACAGTTTCAAGCCGTCGGCCTCACTAAGAACAGTCACCATGGCTTGGTTTCCTCCACGTCCCAGTGCGCAGATCGAGCAAACGCTTCCGGAAAGGTGGACGAACCTTCTTCTTTTCCCTCTTCTCTCCGGACACAGAGGCCCGGCTGCCATCCGGGTAGTGTGGCAAACTAAGCGGGACTTGACAGTGCGAGCGGAACACACCACCAGGATCATTGGAGGCGCCTTTGTTTGCAAAAATCCGAAGAGCTAGTCTGGGTTGTACTTGTTATGCTGTATTGTTATGTGATGGTAGATGTTACAGTCTATTCTGTTGCTATTCCATACTAGTTCATATGGTACTATGTTATATGCAGATTCAGCAAGGCCAAGTTTCGCTTCTTTCTGAATCGGCAGCATGGAAGTATCAGGATCGTAGATTCGGACGGTCGGATGTCTCACTGCCCATGACCTTCACCGGAAACCCCAGATCCAAAACCCAAAACTCCATGAACAAATATGATATAACCTGCTATTGTACCGGAATGCAATACGATAACATGTGAAATAGCATGGTATGTTATGAGATAGTTGGTTACTTAATTATTAGTATAATATAGTATACTATAACATAATATAACACGAGATGCTCTAATGCAGTATAATATGATATGATATACAGTAGCCAAATATTAGATAGTACAATACACTATAACATATAACGCAATCTGAGATGAGATAATAGTTTTCAAAACCCCGGATCCAAAGCCCAAAACGCCATGAACAAATATAATCTAACCTGCTTTTTAGCTACAATACAATACGATAACACGTGAAATGACATGATACCAATATGTTATGAGATAGTCGATTACTTAATAAAATAGTATAATATAGTATACTATGACATAATGTAACACGAGGTGCTCTAATGCAGTATAATTAATATCATGTGATATATAGTAGTATAAGTATCAGATAGTACAATACATATTAGTATATAATGTATAAACCCCAAGCCCCGAAACCTCTAAGCTGCTTTCCCTCCTTTCCCGCGCATTCAAGCAAAAAGCCACGCACTTCGAGTCTTGAAGGCCGTTGTATGAGGCTGCCGTACTTTACAGAATCCGGGCATCTTCGGCGGTTGGACTCAGGCTTTGGAACTTCAGCGCACCGACGTGTTTGTGACAACGCCACTCTCCCCTCCCAGACTGATATCCCTACATTTCCGAAAGAAAGGTTGCCATGGTATTAGGTCACACCTCGCAGCTTTTCGGAACTCATTAGAAACGGATCTGTCGTAAAACTGCCGCCAACGTTGCAGCCCTTAGAGACCCTGAACACCCCAAAACCGACGGCAGATTTCGTTCAATCGTATCTTGCAGCTGTCTTCAGGGCCGAAACACAAGGTTGCGTAGTGTCAAGGCGCTGCATACGCAGTTTGGCCCTATGGGCACCTGACACATGTTGAACCAGAAATGAGAGCAGACCCGGCAGAGTTGCCTCTCGCAGGACCTTGCTCAACCTGCCGGAAACTCGGGGGCGGAGCATGTCGTGCGCATGCTGACACGCTCCTTTCCAACTGTGGATGGATCTTCTTGGGCGGAACGATTATTTCCTCAACAACGAGGCCCGATAGTGCGCAGGGGCATGTCATGTCTTGTATACCAAATCCTGCAGTGCCGTTCGACGGACATGGTTCTGTCTTCGTCGCGGGTTATACTTCACGCTTCTGAGGTTTGGGATTTTCGGAAGACTGTCGGGGTGTGGAAGTCAAGTTGAATCCATTCTGGGATTCTAGGACAGTGCGCGAGATGCCGGCGAGGAAGATTTTCAGTGGCACGGCGGCGCATGCATTCACGAATGAACCGTTCATCGTTCATCCGTGTGTAAACTGCTTCTCTAAGACAAACATATCTGTTCAAACGGTACAGACCCCAAAACCCCCAAGCCACGTTTACGCAGCTGCACTCTTGCTTGCAGATCAAATGGCGGGACACGGAGCTCTGTCAAGGCGCCACTTTCTTTTCGGGCCCTAGGGAATCCGGCGTTTAGGGAGACAGGGGAGTTAGGGTTCGGGTGAGGGCTTGGGTTGTTCAAGGTTTTTGCTGATTTGGAGGAGCGCTCCTGCCCGAAGGCTCCATGTACCAGGCCTTAAAGTACCTATATGGGGACCCTTCTACGACCTAAGTATCTACCGAGCATATGGGTACATGGGGCCTCAGGGATCCTAGGCTGCTGTTTGGGTTGCATGGCTTCACTTACCGGGCTGGAGGTTGAGGGTGCTTTGGCTTCGGTTCAGGTCATGTTGGGTGTGAGGCTTGGGGTCTATGGGTGCCCTCAAGGTTGTTTTAAGGCTTCTCTAGGAGTTCCTCTAAGTGTTCGCCTGTTTCTAGGGTCTGCGTACTTGGAGGATCATGGCACTGCGTAAGTACAGTTATAAGCACATTCGGGTTAAAATCAATTATTTGTATAGTTACCTTATTATGTATAACTATAGTTACGAAGTACCATGAACCTCCAAGCATCGTGACTTCAGCAGAGAGCTTAAGGGGTGCCTTGAGGGCTCCGTTAAGGGTTCTTTAAGAGGTTCCTTTAAGGGGTCCTTTGAGGGGTCTGTAGGGTATGCACGGTATGCACCTGACCAACTTGATTTCACATCCACCGG